GCTGCCTTTGATACAGTACCGCACCCAGTCCTTCCTGTGATGCATCGCAGTGCAAGACAAAGGGATCATCAAACTGTGGATAGCCAAGAATGGGTGGATGTAATAAAAAGTCTATCAGTGTACACAGGACCGTTTGGTGCTGCTCTGTCCAGGTGATTGGTTTACTGGACGGTAACTGATCAGATTTTCTCGCTCCTTTGTTTTCGCTTTTCATTTTTTTCTTTGGTTTCGCTTCTGATGTTTTCTTCACCACTAGCAGGTTGTACAGGGGCTTGGCTATTCGAGAGAAGTTGGGGATGTACTGACGAAAATATGACAGAAACCCCAGATGTCTCCTCAAGTCACCTACAGTTTTAGGTGTCTTGTCCTTTAGGGCTTGCACTGGTGCCAGTTCAGCTGGGTCCATTGTATAGCCTTCTTTGGACACGATCTTTCCAAGAAACTTCACCCGGTCTTTAAAAACGCTGCACTTACGTGGTGTTAACTTGACCCCATGTTGCTGGTAGCGACGCAGAACAGCTCGCAGGTCTCGCAGGTGATCTTCAAATGTGYGACTATGAACAAGATTGTCATCGAGATATGGTTGGCATGATTCATCCCTGAGTCCAACCAAACATTCCTCCATGCTCCGCTGGAACTCCGCGGGGGCAGAGGCCAACCCAAAAGGGATCCGCACCCACTCGTATAATCCCCAGGGTGTAATAAACGCAGTGAGTGGTTGACTGCTCTCATCCAGATAGCCTTGGTGGTAGGCCTTTCCCTGATCGAGAACGGAGAACCATGCACTTCCTGTCAGGCTATTTAACATGTCTTGTACACGTGGGATTGGGTGACGATCAGGGATGGACTTCCGATTCAATTCTCTATAGTCACAACATAGACGGAGGCTGCCGTCTTTTTTTCGGACGCAGACAATGGGGGAGGAGTATGGGGATCGTGATTTCTTTATCCAACCTCGATTTAACAAATCTTCTAGATACTCCTTCACTTCTTTGTGTAGAGGTTTAGGCACTGAGGTATAAGTGCGTTTTACAGGAGTGGTGTCATTGAGTCTAATTTTTAGCTTGAGAGAGGGAATGCTGCCAACATCTTGATCACTTTTTGCAAAAGCCCCACTCTCTTCTCTCAATAATTGTTTAACTAACCTCTGTTTCTCTGGTGACAGGTGGTCAACGGTCACGGGGGGGTCCCATTCACCTCCTTCCTGCTGAAGTGCTGCCTCTTCATCTCTTATTTCCTTTGTCTGTTCTGCTTTTCTGTCCTCCATGAGCAAACCCACTGTACTCTGCTCCATACTTTGCTTGGAGTCAACTGGTTTTGCATTGGCAGGATAGGCAGTTCTGATTGTTTGCACCAGCCCCAATACAGTGCGAGAGTTGAGCGTGATGTCATGGCGGGAGTCATTTGTCACTGGTATGGTGACCCGGGACCATGTACCTCTCTGCAGGCTAATTAATGCTCCTGTAACACTTAAACCTTCTGGCCACTTAATACTTTCAACAGGCTCGAACAGAACTTCCTGTTTGGTGGGTAGGTGGATGGTTCTTGCTGTACATTTCACTCCTATTGTTTTGCCAGCTGGGATGACTACAGGTTGGCGCCCCACTCTGACTACTCCCTCCTTGGCATCTGTGTCACATGTTTGGAGCAACCGTGTCAGCACTTCTACTCTTTGACAGTCTATGGAGAAAGCTTCACTTAGTGCCCTAGTGGTAGCAGTCGGGTTTGTTTCCATCCCACTCTTTACAAGCTCTTCGATCACATTAAAGCCTATTATTGGCTCTTCGGGCACTCCTGGGTCATGGGC